TAATCCAGTTTGATTGAACTCCATTTGTAACAATCCTCTGCTATCTTCCATCCAGCTATTCTTCTATCCAATTTGATAACTTATCACCCACACCTATAGAGGTAATTTTTTTAAAAAAACCTTTTATGTGGCACCTTGTAAATTATTAGCAGTCACCAATTATCTTAAACTCGCAAAACAATCTTCAAAGTAACCAGTCATAAGTTTCATTATTAAAGTATCACATCTTGAGAGGTTGCAAGCTCAGTAAAGTACTATTTTACTGGTGCTCTCTATTTCTGAAATTATCACCATTTATCTTTATTTTACACCAACCAATCTAAGTTGATTGCATGGCTTAGTTAAAATATAATAACTAAACTCCCAGATACTCCCATTCTCGTTCCCTTGTTGTTGAATATTGGATCTTCTTTTTTGGCATATCCACACAGTATTTATCTATTTGTGTGTCATGTTCTTGGTGCTTTGAACCTTGTCGCAGATCGTCTTTCCCACCTGGAAAAATTTAACTGACAGAGTGGTATCTAGATACACAAGTTTTTAAGTGGTTATGCATTCAGTTGGGTACACTACACCTGGATGCATTTGTCACTATCCTAAATACCCAATTACTTCAGTTTAGGTCTACAGTGCCTCATCCACTTGCCCTGGCTGTAGATGTGTTCAGTCAGGATTGGACAAATTCCTTTATGTGTATCCTTCTATTTGATATATATCATCCACTACACTCCATGTCAAGTCCTTTTGATTGCTTCTTACTGGCCAGCCCAGTTGTGGTTTGGATGGCTGCTCCAGGTCCAATCTGCCCCACTGTTGCCTCTTCCCAGAACTCCATCCCTTTTATGTCAGGCTCAGTCCCAAGTAGTTCATCCCATCATTCCTACCTTTTTGTCTTCACACCTGGTTTTTTTATCCGGTCCTTGTTGAGGAGATCCAGTTTATCATGGTGAGTAGTTTCATTGTTGGCACGTTCCCTTCTTTCTTCTTCCATGGAGCTTTTTCAACATAAGTAGAACGTTTTCTACTGTTGGTTTTTGAGTCCTGGATTCTCCCCTGCTCATTCTAATGTTCCTCTTATTACGGATATCCTCACTTGGTTATCTGATCAGGAGTCTTTGGTCTCCTTTATTTTGGGTTATTCGGCAGCCTTATCCCATACTTTTCATTTTTCCTTGTACCATAAAGTTTTTGAGTCTCATACCTTATCATTCTTGTTACATTCCTTCTGGATTAGTCACCCTCCATGGTATGTGGTCCTTCTGGATTTGGATGTCAATGTGATACTTCACTGCCTTACTTTACCTCTGTTTGAACCTTTGTCTTCTTGTTCCATGTTTAATTTATCCCTTAAGGCGTATTTCTTCTTTCTTTTGGCCTGTGGACGTCATCAGTTGGATTTGTTTGCCATTGACTTTTCACGTACTCTGTACAATTCTTCTTATCTTCTCCTTTATCGAGATCAATCTTTCCTTCTGAAATCTTTGGTGGCTCGAGAGGGTAATTCCTCCACCTTGCCAACTTCCCTTCTTTCCATTTCCTACCTCTATTCCAGGTTTGATCCGGATAGACTTCAATGTCCAGTTCGTGCTCTTCGTTGTATATTGTCTGCATGGCTTCCTTCTGTCATAACCATTCCTCCCTGTTAATCCCTTGGCAACTATCCTCTGTTTGTGATCTCTCTCCTTCCACCCTAACTAGTTGTGGTTGGCTTTTAAATTGATTGGCTTATTCTTCCTTATTTCCTTTTCCCTGTCAATCATCTGTGTCATTCTTTGGAGGAAATTCTTCATGCAGGCATGTGGACTACTCTGCATACTTTCATCTCTCACTATCTGTATCATGTGGCTGTTTCTTTCTCGTTGGGTTATCATCTTTCACCTATTGTTATTCTTCAAATTTGATGCAACTATAAGTGGGTAAGTTTTCTTTCTTTCATTATATATATTTTAAGGGGCCTGTCCCATGTTTCGATCTGGATCCCGCTCTGTGGTGAGTGTTACTTGTCCAGGTATACTTCAATCACTTAGAATTGTACTCAAATCCACACTGTAAGGTCATGTTGACTTCACTTTCATAATTTCCGTGGTTACTAAATGCACACTATTCTTTACTATCAAATATACAAGATCACTCATAGGTTATTCCTAGCAATATATTTGCTTCATAAATATGCCTCTTTCAAACCATACTGACCCATGGACTTCATGGGTAAAGTAGAAGGGGATTGCTGCCTATCCCTGCCATTCCTTAGATTGAATAAATCTGGTTTGGTATGCTTTTCAGTATAGGGTTTCTTGATCACTCATTGCCCTCTCACTTGTGTGAATATTCCTCCAGACTCTCTGCTGCATTTTTCTCTTTTCCTTTCTTCCAGTGGAGTAAGAGAGTCCTTACCACTTTCTGGTTCCAAACCATTGGGGTGGTGGACCATGGAGGTATCCTCCTGAATGAGAAATATACAATATAAACAATGTTGACTCCATTCATTTGAGAGTAGGGCAGTGGTGTTCTGCTTGTGTAGTTGAGTGAAATTTTCTAAAAAGATGCTCCATCTCTGGATGGGTTTCTCTGAGGGGATGTTGTAGCTTTGGAGTGAGCTGTCATAATGATTGGGATCCCTCATCCTACCCCTGCATGGATGTTGGTTCCCGGTGGTTGAGTTTTAGATTTAGAGCAGAACCAATCGACATATGTTGTGTTGGCCAATATACAGCTCACCCCTTTGATTGGGATCCTTCATCCTACCCTTGCATGGAAGTTGGTTCTTAGCTGTAGAGTTTTTGATTTAGAGCTGAGCCAATTCACCATAAGTCCTCACACATGTGTTCAGGGAGTGCCTGGTACCTCACTCATTTTGCCTCATTTGCACTGCTTTGATGTTTTGGGTTATGATGGGTGCCCTTTTTGGTTGCTCTGCTTCTTCCTTTTGCACTATCCCTCGATGTCTTTATGCCAAGGGTGTTACTGCATTTGAGGTTGTCCGTTCTGTTTGGTTTAAGTGGGATGTATATGTATTTTGCTTAGCCCACACATGTCCTGTTCCCTGATCAGTGGTGGCAATTTCTCCTTCCAGTTTGCTGAACTTGAGGTGAAGATGGTATGATCCTCCTTCCTATCCTTGCAGTTGAGTTTTGGATTGTAGGTGACTTACCAAAGGTATGATTTG